CGTTGTCTATTATTAATCAAGTGGTTCAGGACTAGGTGGTGGCCCTCACCCAGTGAGTGGCACTGAAAGAGGTGCACATGTGGATGGGCAGTGTAAGCACCATAGCTTCCATGAGAAAGCGCAGAAGAAAAACAAGGGGAATAACAACAAATAATATAGCAAATAAGGAAAAGGAAGAAAAGGGGGAAAACAATGAACAATAAAAGGAAAACCGAAAAGAAAATGAAGATAAAAGAGAGGAAGAATAAAGAAAAGGCAGACAAAAGCAAATACTATCCATGGGGGAAGAAAATAAAGTAAAAAGAAGAAAGGAGTGAGACAAATAGAAATAACAAGAAGAAAAAAATAAACATAGGGAAGGAAAAAAAGACGAAAAAAAGGAGGGTGGGCTGCATGTGCATGGCACTTCCATAGATGGAGGAAATGGCAGGGCAGCACCCTCAGAACAGGTGGGTGCCCTCTACTGGTTGAGGCGGCCATGGGTGGTATGGTGCCTAGATCCAGAAGGAGTTCATGCCAACCCAGAGGGCAACTGCAGGTAGAACACCTGGTCCTAGAGAGCGTTCCTGATGGCTCAGCAGGCAGCCAGGGATTGGGTGGCCAGTTTGGCGATGTCCATTTGGCTGGCCTTAAGACATGGAAAATGTGTTCCGCCCAAAGTGGGGGTGGTGTGTACTTGGCACCTGATCTACAAGGGTGTGCCTTCAACCGGAGGTGGACCCGAGGCTGTGCACAGCGGGTATCAGGGGCCCTTGGATGACAGGGGTAGTGCATCCATCGTATTTCTGGTCCCTGCAGAGTGTTGGGGAGAAGCAGAAGATTGGACCTTGCTGGTCCACCAGCTATTACTGTGGGCACTGGTGCAGGCCTGTGTGAGCAGAGTTGGTGATTAGGTTGCTGTCTTGATAGAAAAACTGCTCTAGTTGATCGTTGCCATGCTGTGTCAGGCTAGCTGTCTTTCTACTTGCCTCCTTGTTCTTTTCTCGTGAGTATTAGACCCACTTCTTTATCCTTTCTTTGTAAGCTCGGGGGTCCAGGGTTGCTGAGGTTTTATTTGGTTTCTTGTATCCATGTTCTAGAAATCAGGGTAGCTTATTTGCCTAGTCCGCCATCTTGCCAGAAGTCTTTGGAGACTCTTTTTATTGAAAAAAAGGTGTAAGATATGGGAGTCCTCAGGATCCTGGAGGCGTGATAGGAGAACAATAGACAGGTAGGGGAGTCTCAAGTGTGCTTTATCAGGTCTGGAGCATGAAGTGTCTTCTGAAGCAGGGTGTATCAGCCTCAGCACTATGGATCGTTTGACCAGCCTGGCACTTTGTTGGGTGGTGGGGCCGTCTTGTGCATTGTAGAATGTTTACTTACTAGGCGGCAGTAGCACCCTCCAGTTGCAACAACCAAAGATGTTGCCAGACATTGCACAAAACAACAAAAAAATCCCCTCTGGTGTGGCCAGGCTGTATTGCCCCAGCTGAATTTGTGAGCTCCTAAAATCCCCTTTTAGTTCTAAGATAATATGACTAGTCTAAAGTAAAAGATTATACTAGGATGTTTTTATAGGATGATTTATAGATCAGAATCAGATCAACGTGAAGAGGAAACAAAACAACCAAACAAAAATGTACACCATTTCCTTGAGCACCTCTCGATCCTAGTCTGAAAGGGAAAGTGTTGCTTCTCATTTAACGGAATACCAGTTGAAGTTCATTAAAAAGAATACCAGTTGAAGTTATCATAAATCTTGGAGCTGCTCACAACTACGTGTGAGCCCTAGACTAAGTGTGGATCAGCAATTAGCATTCATAGTGAATTACTCTGCCCCTTTTTCATCTTGAAAGTATATTAGCTATATGTTAGACTAGCCATTGGGTTATCTAGCCATCGGGTTTGCTGACCCAAACTTAACCTAGGACTCACACATAGTTGTAAGCGATTCTAAGCTTTATGCATTTTTCAGGAAACTTTTGTATTACAGATGTTATAGTCAAAATGAATGAATATTATCTTTGTAAAAGTCCTATGTATTTAGATGTTGAAGGCATTTGACTAGATGTTGATTGGTTGGATGGACAGAACCATGGGTGGTAAGTGTTCTTTGATTAGCCAAATAAAATGATATCTCTGGTTATAACACCCAGTACCTTTTGGGCATCACACTTCTGTTCTGTGACACCAGAGCCCAATGACTTCCCATTCCACTGGAATTACAGACAAAATTTGGTAAACCAAGGTGGTAGGATTATTTTTGAACTTTAGCCTATGATAGAATCACCTGTGTTGATTAATAAAAACCAGAATGCTGATGCCCACCCACTAGATTTCTGAAGCAAAAGGTGTGAGGTAGGAGCTCAGATTTTGTATTTCTAATATGTTTCCAGGAGCAGGGAACACCCTTTGAGAATCAGTGAGATAACAATTCTCAAACCTGAAACCATATAAGCATCTTCTATGGATCTTACAAATGTAGCTATCTCCTCTTCATTCACCCTCAAGGTCTGTAGGAGCCATTCTGAGCAGGGCTTAGGACTCTACTTACTTTGGACTTCTGGGTGATTCTGATACAGGTTGTGTTTTAGACTGGCATATTGATTATGCATTGGACCCAGAGCTGCTAAATGAGTAGTTCGAAACTACCAACTGCTCCAAGGGAAAAGGATGGGACTTTCTACTCCCGTAAAGATATAGTCTTTGGAAATTCATGGGAGCAGTTCTACCCGGTCCCATAGGGTCACTGGAGCTATGCAATGGAGAGGCCAGGAAAGGTGATGGATTTGAAGATTACTGTGGAAACTCTGTCAGGTAGGGAGGAGGAAGAGTAGGGGTATCAATAGGGACATAACTGGAAGACTATCCGTGGATGTACTGTATGTGAACTCTGCTCCTGCACTCTGGGAACTTTATACATTCCTTCCATGGTTAAGATCCCTGACTTTCCCTCAAGGCTCTCAGTTCAAGGGCTGAAAGATCAGCCATCAGCCATTTGACTTACATTATAAACGAGTAACATAAACACAGCATATGGAAGTGCTTGTGAAAGTTATTGACCTTTTATTTTTTGCAATACATCTGGAACTTATCAAAGCTCCTCTCCAAGTGACCGAATAAAATATCTGAACCACAATCGACTCTCCAGAAAGCCAGCACCTTGTACAGAAAGTGCATCAGTTCTTGGCAACTGGCTGCAGATGATACAAAAGAAAGGAACAACACAAAATGCCCCCAGATCTTTATGGTAAGACACTCACATTCATTGTCAAGGATAATAGATATGTAAGAATGGATACTAGATGTAAATGTAACTAACATTCCTCAGGCCTGAGACTCTCACCATTTCCAAACCATCACACCCGGACATGCTTCTCCATGGCACACCCAGCACACGTCAACCCACTGCAGGTGGAATTGGGTGGGTCAGGGCAACGGACAGTTAACTTCGTTTTTTCCTCTGAGAGTCATACCCAATTATTTATTTAGCTAAATTATATCTTATGAGAATCATCTTGATTCCCAGACATCTGAAAGAAAAATTAAGTCTCTCCTTTACTATTGGGCAATGGTTACTAAAGATGGCCAGACAGATGAGCTTCTGTTTGTTTTGTTTTTTAATCCAGTCATATCTGGCTTTCCTTAGAAGGGTCTCACTTTGGAATTACTAGACTTTGGAAGCAAAAGCAAACAATCTAACAAAACAATTACAATGACAATTTTATTGTTCTCACACTCTGCCAAAAAACCTTCTCTGCTTCTTTTTAAAACATCAAGCAATAAATTCCTATGCCTGAAGGATTATAATGCTCATCTCATAAAAATGAATACTTCTAATTAATAATGTCCACTAAAAAGAACAAGGGTTTAATTCTCTTCTTTGGACTTTGTCGAAATGACAATAAAAAGTGTTTTAAGTAATGCTACATACATAGAGTTTTACTGCAGTACCTTTTTTATAGCTAAGATGTCCTTATTTTTCAGCTAACTATTACCTTTTTTTATTCTTAATTGTGATTATTTTCTACTATGGAAACTTTGGATGCTAAAAAAACGTCTAAATATTTGCATCTAAAATATAGTTATGGGGGAATGTGTGTTGAACACAAGAAATATTATTAAGAGAACCTGTGAAGAATGAATGTTATAGCATGAATTTGACCTTTTTTTGTCTTTACCATTGCATATTTTAAATACATTCATCATACTCCTGACATCATGCTAACCATTGGGGTTCTAGTTAGATGAGCACTGTGTAAGATTCTAAATGCATCGATGGAATGGCCCAGGCGTCTCTTGGATATGTCCACATTACACAAGAAAAGGCGGAGAGATTTCTGTATTACATTGTTTTAAACCATGACATCCTGACAAGTTATTCTTGACTCTCTTTAAGCTATATAATGTAGTAGGTGGTAGGGAGTTTATATGCTATCTTCTCCAGATACCCCCAAAGCAAAGCACATCTTCCCATGAAGGCACAGACTCTAGGGTACCAGCTGGGCCAAGCTTTAAAAACAATTGTCAGCTGGGCTTTGAACTGGTTTGTTCCAGCTTGGCCTCAATCAGCAAACTGGCATTTCCACCCATGACAGATCGGAGCAGAATCTCTGTTTTAACAAGATCCCTAGGTGATTATTACATATTCCCAGGTGGATTAATACATATACGTGTGTGTGTGTGTGTGTGTGTGTGTGTGTGTGTGTGTGTGTGTGTGTGTGTGTAATGTAGATTCTGAGTCAGCATATCTGGGGTAGAGAGGCAAATACTCAGCCAGGGGTAAAACCAGAATGAACCAGTAAGAAGTGTTCATTTTATTCTTTCTTTCTTAGGTTCCCAATACTGCCTCTTCCTATACAACATTTTGTAATTTGTAATTTCTAGAAAAACCTTAAGTTTGTTAAGAATATCAGTGATATTTCCCAGAGTTGATACCAGCCTTAATATATTTGTTCCTTTCCTACAGTTACGAGATGAGGTTATTTAAACATTTCAACCCCGACTTTTCATTTCCTTACCAGAAGTGAGACTTGCCATTTCTTCAGGAGCCTGAGCATTTCCATATTTAATCATTAATGTCTGTGGCTTAACTATTTGGCTTGGAATGTGAACTAAATGGTCACTTCCATTGTCCTCCAACACAAAAGGCGAGTCTCTCTCAGTATATATTTCATCCCCAAAGAAGCTGTCCTCGCCTGAAAAATTCTCATTTTGCTTGGAAGAAAATCTAGGGGGAGAAAAGAAAGTTTTAAGTGAATCTACATAACGTTGGAGAATGCAATTTTTAAAATCCCATCAATCAGATAGGATTATTTAACCATAACTGTGATGGTAAAAACTTGGAAACCTAATGTGGGGAGTTGGTCAATTTTGTTATCCTTCTGGGTATAAAATGAGCTATCTCAGAAGCAGGAAGCGGGGATTTCATTAGCATAAAAAAGAAGAGTCAAGGGTGGAGATTATCCTTTGGAATCCAAAATTTCTGGACTGCACTGCTCCAGGGACAGAAAACTGATAGAGAGAAGCAGCAAAGGAGGGGTGACAGCAGAACCAGGAGCCAGAGCCAGAGACGGAATGGTGGGCTCCCTGGCCAGCAGAGAGCAGAGAGTAAGTCCTCGGGGTAGGAGACTCTCTTGTTGAGTGGGTTGCCTCTCGGCACTCAATTGGGACACTAGGTTTGCTGACATGTGGAAGTAGAGCTGAATGCCTTCAGGCTGAAGTCTATGGTGGAATGGTGTGCCCTCTGAGTATTAATCAGCAATATTAAAAGAGCTCTAGTACATTGCACGAGCAGGGTGGAGACCAAGGCTCCATGTGGCCAAGAGGTCAAGGATCAGAGTGGGCATGGCTGAGAGACTTGGAGGGAAGAACTATGTCTTAAGCATTTTTGATCCTGAATTGTAGCCTGTTAACTTTTTTAAACCACATCATTGTAAACATTGTCTGTGAGCTCTGGGTGCCGTTGCAATGAATGACTGAACCCAGCAGAAATGTAGAGTACTATGGGAGGGGCGGGTGGTGTCAGAAATTGGAGGGTGGAGGGTCTGGCCCTTGCCTCAAAGAAACTGACCTTAGAAGCTCAGAAGA